GGCGTCGCACAAAATTGTTGGACGCCCCACAATCGACTAGAGCTCGAAGGGACAACTTATTCGTCACTTCGAGTTTCAAGGTAATGAGTGAGACCTCATTACCTAGAGCAGCAACGCACAACGTTTGTGTGTTGGGAGCAACCTTCATCAAGAGGCCTACAAATTCTCTTGACGTTGCTAGACCAGTAGGGTGCTCCGCACCTACTGATCCTGTCCGTTTTTTGACGGTCCATCCCGTTGTTGCGTCTTTGCATCAACAGCGGACCCTCGTCCCTGCCCCTTTCTCATGGGTGGACGGTCACTACGCCCAGTGTCGCGAGACACTGGACGAGGGGCACTACACTCGTAAGCGTAGTGTCCTGTCTTTTGACATCTGTTGCATTTCTGCAACTTCTTGTAGTCTGTAGAGAGAGCGTTCTCGCTCTCTACATAACAGAGTTCCATCGGCTCTGGACCTCCGTTGTCAAATCGTCTCGGTTGACGATATGATGTCAAGCTGGCGCTAGCCTGTCTCAGACTGAAGTCTTCCTGCTCCGCAATGGAAATGGCTTGTTCTAGTGAATCTAGTTCAAGCCGGAACAGGTGAGTCTTGACGGGACCATCCGCAAGACCCTGCATGAACACCGAAACCAACGTGTGTTCATCCACCGGATTGGAACTTATACAACTCGTAAGATGTCGTATATGTTGAGCGTAAGCGTGCACATCACGCTTACCCTGCTTGAGCTTCAAGAGTTCGGTTCGAGCCATGAACTCAGCTCTAGGCGGTTCAAACGTTTGTCTGAGCCGCGACTTGAAGACTTCCAACGACCCAAACGCATATGGGTCGTGCAGCTTGAGCCCCAGTGCCCAAGTCTTGGCACGTCCTGCCAGATTTGACTGGGCAAATGCAACTTGCATATCCCCGTCGTCGATGCGACGCGCCCTTATGGCGTCATCCAATTCGACGAACCATCTCAAGAGGGGGTCCTCTTCGACTCCCCTGTACTTGGAGATGTCAATCTTCAAAGTCTCGGGTCGACGCGAGTGCATCGACCCGCCAGCAGCAGCCTGCTGCTGTCTCAACAGTTCAAACTGTTGAGCACCCTGTTCTCTCAACAACTCTGCTTGTTGAGAACCTTGTTGGTGAAGCAAGGCTACTTTCTCGCGTTCTGCGTCAAGTTCATTTTGAATGAACTTGGCGATAGTAGCATGTTGGGCATCTCTATTGAGAGCCTCTAGCATGACGCTAACAGCATGGATGCCCATGGTCGAACCCATTCGTTCGACCGCATCCCATTCGACATCGCTCAAATGGGAGTAGCCGTCACGCGTAGCGTGAAAGCTTTGGTCATCTTCATCATCCAACATATTCATGTTAGATGTGAACGCGGTCCTTGGACGGACTACGAAGTGCTACCAGGTGTAACGGGGCACCCTGAAGCTTGTACTGGTGACAGTACAAGCTACTTATTCTGGTGACAGAATAAGGCGGTGCCTCGGAACTTCACGTACACTGGTACGTGCAGAGGAAGACGGTAAGAAGAAGCGAGTACTTGGTTAAAGTAAAAAGTAGAACTGTATTTATCATAGTTAATGTCTGCAATAAATCACTATTTATCTTCATCTAACTATGTCTAAATACAAATGTGTAAATCAGTTATCTGCTCACCACTCATTGCGTGCGTCTGTCGTGGCGCGTCTTCGTTGGTTGATATAATGGCCTATATCAACCAATTAAAAACTACTCGTAAGTGCTACAGAATATTTGTCCTTACGATAATATTCTGAGAATGTAACTCTTATAGTTATATTCTATTAACAATTTCTTATAAATTGTTATGTAACGATTCACCCCGTTACAATGACTATTTAAATGGCGCCGAGGACATTTTTATTATCATACAGCCATCAAACATGCGTGTACCGAGTTTTTCAATCAGAATAGGAAACAACTTACATCCAGAAGTGTTTTCTGGTAAATATAGACGAAGTCGTCAAAGTAAAATGTTTGAGGTTTATTATTAATACGATGTCACAAAGAGCTATGAGCTGTAGATTGAGTTTAGTAAAATGAAAACGATCTTCGCTTGCGGTTTAGTTCGATAGGGTGTTGAGCACCGAGACAGCCGTCGTGACACATTGCAGCACCATCAATGGATCAGACACATCACCCGATATTTTTTTTTGAAACGGCCTTTGCATTTTTGTGGATATCATTGACCGAATAGCGTCGATATGTGTCATATCGTGTCTAAATTGTGTGCAAGTACGGCATTTTAAATAGCTCCACCTTTCGTGTCCCCTGAACCTCCAAACCTTCGTTTAAGCTGTAGTTAGGCACGATTGTAGCATGGTGGTGGGTGAACAGAAACTGTAGGAGTTTTTATGCTGACAACCACTCTGATTGCCTTCCCGATGTAGATCTGCTTAAAAGTCTTCACAAGGTACGACGGATGGAGCACAGACATCACATCAGTTGTAGACCCCACATCATGTAGCACAGAGACGAGGTGGCGGCATGTCAATCCCAACATGGGAATTTGATGCTTCGATGTTCACGCACACATACTTGGAATATCCTAATCTTTTTTTATACTATACATCAGTCGACAAACGAGCCACTTCGTAATCGCTCGCAGCAGCCTGCTCGATCTGCCAAAGCGCTCGCGAATGTGGGGCAAAAATAAGCTTCTGCACAAAAGTTTTGTTGATCAAACTTTGACACCTACATAACTTGCACATAGCGGCCTTCTTTAATAATTATTGCCTCAAGAAGGGCTACATCACATCTAACTTTGACTAGTAGAGAGTAGTTGTCGCTTTCCGCAAATTTAGTTAATTGCTACCCGAAACGCAGACATGGTGTCGTTGGTGTTCAAGAGTATTTTGTGGGCGCGTGCTTCTGCTCTTGCTTGATTATTGCCACTTCCTGTCTAACGTTTTGACCACCGCCTCCTTAGCTCCGTAGAGTTTGCCACAACAATGCTGGAGATTGGTTTCATCACGAAGTTGAACAAGCGCCACAGTCTCCTTTCACCTCATGGCCTTCTCACCCCGAACAGCAGCCTTAAATGTTGACAGCAGCCAAATTTGCCTAGAAGACAATTTAGCAGACACCATAACACATATCAGCGCGGCTAATTTTGAGTGTCGAAATGAAGATTTTGGAAACGAATCCAATTTCTCTCGCTTTGTCATGCCAACCTCCCACGTTCACCCATCCTGTGGGCACGCGTAAATCTTGCTTTTATCATCACCCTTCTTCACCATGAACTGTCTATTCTAGGTAGAACAAAAGAATTTCAAGAACATCATTCGACATCTGCCGCCTAGACTACTCGTTTCAGAATCAGTTCGGCGGCACCACGAACCGCGCATAGGTCGATTACCCATTCGCCGGACATCTTTATGCAAAAATAGTACTATGTTTAAGTCAAAGTTACTCTTGGCACCTAAAATTGTAATGTAATTATTCACAGGACTATAAAATAGCGTCGTCTAGCATTAATTTCGTCCTCAAGTGGTGCTGGTTTTGCGACTGGTGCCGATTATGCACTAATTGCATCTAATTGGTGCTGGTTCTGTGATTTACTCTAAAAAATGCACCCAATTTCAGTTCCAGGGGGTGAAAATTGTAAAAATGGGTGGTAAAATTACCATCACACTGAAAAAGAGGTTGTAAGCACGCACATGCTACAAATATTGAGGGCTCAGCTAACATGAGGAAGGGACCCGACATATGCCGTATCTGAGGTTTAGCTCAATTGTGACAAGTTGGCATACTGAGACGGCCTTACCAAAGACATGCAAAATGCGACTGTGACGAAAAGCCCATCGACGTATCCGGCAGACGGCGACACTCCCAAAAAAATGCAGACCAGCTTCTTATAACGAAGCGGGCGACGTCACATCTGAGCAAATTTGTAGCAGGAGTAAGAGTAGCAGCTCGAGAAATCTCAGTAGCACAAGATACAGCTCAAACAGTAGTTTCATCTCGTCGCCTTATAAGTGCTCTGTTGCGTTCGCACACAAGAAGCGCGAACTCTAGACGGTTGATATAGTTTACGTGGGGTCAACACTGCCGACTGCACGCAACCGTCGCAACGTTCTTCACAAGCTCTTGGTGTAGACGATGCAATCGCAGGCATGCCAACCCTGCTAAGTAAACAGATGAGTATCACCAACCTCGTCAGCCCGCCACCAACGCCGACGACTACCACCGATACATCTGAGGCAACGACGTCAAACGAGTCGATAGCAGTATGAAATCAGAAAGGCTGAGGGTGCATGCTGAGACAGTCGCGAGTCATTGGATTGTTCGTGCACCCATATCGGCATCTTCCTCGAATATTCCAGCAGCATTCCTGATCACGCGAGCTTTAGCCAGTCCACACACAACTGTCTGCCTCCCGACGATTGCAACAGGTTGATGGGCGGAAACAGCTTCAGGTGCAACTACAACAGGGGACAAGCTCCATGTCATATGTACAATAAGCCACGTAACAATAGGAAACAGGGTCTATAGTATCAAGGGACACTGCTTTTGCTACTACCCGCAGCTTTTTCGTGCTGCGGCTCAACTCACAGCCGTGAGAAGTAAACGGCGTCGCCGTCTTTGAGAAGCACTGTCGCCATGCAAAGCGGTTCCGAAATCAAAATGAGCCGTATGACGAACGGTACCGATAAGCTGGTGGTGCAGCTCAAGGACAAATGTAAAGCATCTAGTGGGCTGATGAGGAACTGCAAAAGAACGGCCTTGCAGGCCAAAGTAGCCATGCATCTGACCCATTGCACACAGCGTCGAAGCAAAACAACACGTTTGTTAGTCAGCTACGCTCCGCCGTGATTCCAATGTCGATGTTGCAGGATCAGTAGCTTGAGTGACCTCAACATTCGCATGCCACAGGTGATTGTTTGTGCAGCCAAAGCAGCTGCATAAATTCGATCTGTTCTGAACAGACACTGGGACAGGAGATCACCTGCCGACCAGTCATTCTGTTGATTTGACGTCGTTTATTATGTCGGACTCGACCACAGTTGAGCCTGAGGTTATGAGGGGTCTGTGTTTGCGAGACTCTGGGGTGGGCCCGCAGTTACTCACTGACCTGGATGTTCCGACTCCAGCACCTCATGAAGCCCTGATTGAGGTGTTGCGAGCAGGTATATGCGGAACGGACTTGCAAATGATTGACAATTACAAGCCAGGGTTCAAGGGGATGTTAGGCCATGAGTTTGTTGGCATTGTTCGGAAGCTCGGGACGCAGTATGCAAACGACGAGCTGGCACACCGGACGTGGATCGGCAAGCGTGTTGTAGGTGAAATCAACGTGCCCTGCGACGCTTCAGACTGTGCAACTTGTGCACGATGCATCCTCAAGCCCACTCAACGTGGTGCCACTATGACCCGAGAAGAGGTCTCGCGCCGCAATCACTGCCCGAACCGATCCTGTCTCGGTATTGTGCAAAAGGATGGCGCGTTCGCTGAGTTTATCACGCTTCCTCTTGCCAACCTCTACGAAGTGCCTGATGGTGTTGTGGACTCCCATGCCGTCTTTGCTGAGCCATTAGCGGCCGCATGCCGTATTTTGGAGCAGCAACTTGTGCAGCCATCTGATCACGTTATGGTGCTCGGAGACGGTAAGCTTGGTCTCATGATAGCAGAAGTGCTTCATGTCTCCGGTGCTGCGAAATCGGTGACTCTTGTGGGAAAGCACCGCGAGAAGCTGGCGTTAGCAGAACATTTTGCTGAGACTGTCTACATGTTTGATGAGGGTGATAAAGACCAAGAAATGACGGTTTTTGCAGCTCGGATCGTCAGCGGTAGGGAGCCCTTTGATGTGTGCATTGAGTGTACAGGAAGTCCCGGTGGTATTTCGCTGGCACTGGAAATAGTACGCGAACGTGGAACTGTGGTTGTCAAGTCAACATGCTCGGCCAAGCAGACTGTGGTGGACGTTCAGTTGGTGCAAAGCAAGGGAATACGACTCGTGGGATCAAGATGCGGACCCATGTCGTGGGCGTTGCGATTACTACGGGACCACAAAGTTAACGTACAGAAGTACATTCATGGTGTTTACCCACTCGAGCAAGCTGAGGCAGCATTGGCTCACGCGGCTCGGCGTGGAACACTCAAGATTCAGCTAGTCATCCGTTGACTTTTCCAGCACGAACAGGTGTTGCGGCTCGATCAAGCTGTAAAAAGCCAACAACTCCTACAGCAAGGTGTCTTGCATGCTTCGAGCTTGAGTACGGCCATGTGGAGGCTCGGAATAAATGTGCTAGTTGAAATGTGAGGTCTTGCACATTTGCAGCGACTCGGTAGGAAGCTGAACGCGATCTTGACCGTTGCTGAGTTTGTAGACGGTAGTGAGCAACAGTCTCCATTGCTGCTTGTCAAGACGCATGAAGAGTTTCGAGAACAATTCGTCGAGAGGGTCCTGCAATTGAGGATGACACGACAAGTTGCCTCGGGGTAGGACTGCAAGCGAAAGGGGCTTTTGACTGCAGCGTCTGATCTAGAAGGTCAGACGCCCAGCTGCTAGCTCAGCACAGAAGGACCCTTCGACTTCCAAGCGCTCGGCTGCATCGTCGAAGCTGGAAAGGGCGACTACTTGTACAAAAACCATTGCCACTGTACCAAAAGATCCCGGCATTTCTACTCTGTCGGTAGGTCGTGCTGCTAACTAGTATCTTTGTCTTTTGAATATTCGAGTGGTGAAAGGTGTGCTGACACGTACTGCGGAGCCTCAAAGAACGACGGCAAGGATATTCTGAAGGCTATCTTGTAGTATTCCGTAGCTGCTCGCATCGTGTACAAGTCACAGGTATCTCTGTACAAAACTTACGAACGTTCAGTCACTCCAGATGTAGTGTAATGAGGTGCAAGTGTACAGGAATTTCGCACTGCTCAGGCGAAAAAGGCGGAAGTAATCCGGCGCCCCGTTTACTACTGACCACAGCAATGACCTCGCGTGGCACCTTGAACCAAATCCTTCTCAGTATGCAGCAAATCGTCAAGGGTGATGTCGCTGAAAGCTAGCTGGCCCACAAGGTATGAATAATGATCGGCATCGAAAACAGTGGCACGAAAGCTGTCCTAGACTCATTCAGGCATTTGCTTCAAAGAAGACTCATGAATTTCAAGGACCTCTATTTGTTCGTCGGACCGCCCATGACGCGCGGTCCTCCGCCGCTGCCTCTGTTGCCATCGCTGCTTCCTACGCCTCCAGTACCATTGCTCTCTGGTCATTCAGTCTCATCACTCCCCCCTACGCTGCCGCGACCAACGGGGTCGAAGAGACAACAAAAGCAGCGTCCCTGTCTCAAGCCACCTCGCCGCCTCAAACCATACCAGCGCGATCTAGACCGTCGAGTCAGGCCTCAACCTTACACTCGAGTAGGGTCCTACAAGGACGTGGAGCCCAATTCGGGTGGAATGCAAATGATAGTGTCGGAGCTCGAACTAGAATGCCGGACCACAATGAAAGACTACTGGTTTGGGTGCAATACGTCGGTCAACACAAACGCACTAGACCCAGAAGCAGTTTGGACAACAGTGCTGGACATGGGTCCACAGTTTCTTGCGCTTGAACCCATAGCGGGAGAACACTTCTAGCATTGGAGGGAACACGACGCAGATTGTCAGCGCCAGGTAGAGTGATGACCTCACGTAAATGACTGAGTCTCAATTGTAGCGAGACGCTTAGATTATGACACTAAAATCGCTTAGATGATGACACTAAATGCTACAATAAAGTAAATAACCCGACCATTTGTAGTCACCGTTTGCCCAATGTGATCGATACTGTTCATGGCAGAGCTAGAGCACACAGAGCCTTCATAACAAGTGTGTTCTCATGAGGGTTAGAAGACAGACACCACTAATATTACGGAGGCGTTTTGCTGCACCACGTCCGCAGCAATTAATTGAAAAGCCATCAGAGGCTGTCTAACGACCGCCATCAGGCGCTGCAGAAACAGCCGCGTGAGGTGAATAGACAGTCACGGCGGAAGGTCACCAGTGCATGAAAAAAAACTGCATTGACGATGAAGTTGCGCGAGCTTTGTGGCAGTGTCACCTGCTTGAACACTTACGAGCAGGCTTCAAAGACGAATCGACAGTTTGTTCTGGAACCTCGTCGAACCGCACAGTCACTCCACGTTTCGTGCTGCGGCATCGGGTGGCAGCCCTCGATGTTCATGTATCCGGCGGCGAAACTCCAGCTCGTTGCGGGACATGTACGTTCCTCATGCAAGTGGGTCGCCCGTTTGCCTTGAAACGTTCGTCAAGAAGCTGCAAAACCCATGGAAGTAATCTTTGACGCACACGTGTCGGCTATGGATACTTGTTTTCCTTCAGCGTCGTCCATCTGGGCATGACCAGGTGCAACCTCTTTGCTCGACGTGCTGCCACGACGAATTGTTCACGTCCAGGTGAAGGATCAGGTCATGGCGAACGCAATCGTGTGTTAACGCCCGGCCAAAGGGAGAAACTGCAGCCATAGGAGCCGTCGGCGCGAATAAGGTATTGAGGCTGAGAAAGTATCTATTCCAAGGTCTGTCTATGCGCACACGCATCTGCTAGCTGGTCGACGGCTCGCCAGCCGTTACCATCTAAAGCAAAGCGGGAGGGCAGTCCCACATCTAGACACGTATCTTTTCCTTTCCGTCCCCTTCACGCCTTTTCTGCCTGAACGTTCTCCACGCAATGCTGCGGAGTTAGTAACAGAGAGAGAGGGAGGGGCCTCGAACATGGCGATGATCGAAGCTCCCTTTTGCAGTCGGTAGGATGCAAGCGCAGAGCTAATACGAGCGCTCGAGTCAATGACCTCGACACACAGACACATATCGAAGCCAATCGCAACGCCTGGCTCCCAGCCAAAAAAGTTTATCATGTATGAATACTTTGGAAACGCTCTTGCAAACCGGCTGTTTATAGATTCGATTCATTGATCGATGAGATCGACACGTTCGACGTAAAAAAGTGTTTGACCACTTCTATCGGAAAGGCACGTGTAAGTTGTCCGGCATGCCTACACCCGTCATGGAGCAGGACCTCGTGCTCGTTTTGTAAGTGAACAACCGGCTGGGCAACATGCAAGCAGCTCCCTCTTTGGAAGTGCTCGAGCATGAAACGATAAGATGTGAAGCATCTGCGACATTGGCGAGTCATCAAAATATCGTAGATTCTCTTCAGCCAGAGATCATGAAATAGAGCCATCTCCATCGCGCAAGACGTGCACGCACCGAATAGCACGCACTATTCAGTCTGACGCATGTAGCAGTAGCTCACAGCGTACCAGAGAAACGGACGTGCTTGAAAGCCGCGCATCCATCCACCTTCAAGTATCTGTTTTACCGTCGGTTGTGTGACCATGACGGGTCATGCTTTCCGCCTCCCTGCGTGATTTAGATCTTTACTCACGCCCACGCAACGCCATTCCTATACATAGTTGCTGCACCTGTCAGTGCTTTGTCAGGCGTATCTATCTCACTGACCCCACTCCGCGTCTCTGGCCCAGCAGACGATCCACTGGGGAAAGTTCACAGCAGACAGGCCGTCAGAGCTTCCCAACCAGTGCCCGCCCACGCGGCTCCGGCACCAAGCAAATGCAGCTGCCCTAAAATTCGCTTTCCCGAGGCTGTAGCACTTCTCCCGCTCGTGGCAGTTTTGCCAATGGCCACCCAGTGGCTGTCTCTCACTCGTTGCGAGTCCTCCATTTGCACATTTGCGGCCAGCTGAGAAATCCACTCGCCATGGTCATCACCACGACGTACTCAAGCAGCGAACTGCTGTCGTCGTTCGCCCGACACGCATCGGCCGTAAATGGTGGTGGTTCACCCTCCACGATGCTGCAGCCTCTGTCGCTGCCGCCATCGCACGTGTCGCACATGACCGCCATGATGCAAACTCCCTGTGTGATGCTGGACACGCCGCATCCACACGCGTCCCACGTGGCGCACCTGGCTATGCACGGCCCGAACGTCATGTGCGACTCGCCGCATAAGCGGTCCCCGCTGCTGTGCGGCTACCCAAGCAAGAAATGCTGGAGCTGGCGCGTGGAAAAGCGCAATGGCGAGCTGCACAAGTTCTGCGAGTACCACCGTCAGAAAGCCAATACGAACCAGCGCCGCATGGAGCAGCGGCGCAAACAAGGCCGACCGGCGTCCCCCCGTTCAAAGAGTATCGGCAGTATGCGGCGGTCGCTCAAAGTCTCAGCGGACTCAAAGCACGAGATCGTGATCAAGGCCGAGATCGACGCGATGCTTGTGAATAAGTTCTGCGCCCACTCTCAAGCTATGCTCGACTCGTCTTCATCTTCTGGTGGCAGTCCTCGAGGTATCGACGGCTTCGATGATGGCAGCTCTGCTGTGGACGATGTCGCAATGCTCTCGTGGATGGACGCCGAGCTGGACGTTGGCATTGGCATGGACGCGGCGGTGGAGTACATGATGGTGGAGCCCCCTGTGATTGACATTGAGCCATCGGACACGCCCGTGGACTTGTTTGAGGAAGATCTCTTCTTCCTCGAACACTTTATCGACGAGATCTCGCACAGTGCCGTGTAAGAGAGAGTGGACTGGGGAAACTGTTAACTGTACGAGTGTTGCCACGGACCTACCCATCCCAGTATTAGTCCATAGAAGTGCTTGGTCGCGTCGCCATCACTCAACTAGTCGACCGCGCGCTCTGTGCGCTGCGGTCCGCATTATGAAGTTTGTGATTTGAAATAAGTAGTAGAGGTAGATAATTGAAAGACAAAGTAACGTAAGCACTCTGGAATGCAACCATTACATGCACAAGAGGGCAGTATGCATGCGAGAAGAGGGATATCCATTTGTCCATTATGTCACCGAAAGAGAGCAGAGGCATACAGCAAGTAGATCATATTGAGAACAAGAGCTTGGCTTTCTCTTCCGCCACCCCCCCCCTTCTCATAAACCATCACGACATCCGAGACGCCCAGTCTGAGGGGCCTGCGACACATTTACACATGCGATACTTTTGTAACGCTTGAAGCCTAAAAATAATCATCAGGTACGTCATTCAACTACCTCGAGGACAGCCACGTTGCATTTCTCCGCGAGCGTAAACATCGCTGTACCCATCATGGTCGGAGAATGTGACAGTCACGAACTTCACCCGCAACGCGTTGCGTCTCCACCTGCGAAAACAGATCGGGGTTGTGGTCGGTGTCTCTGAATGACGCAGCCAGCTTGCGTACCTGCCAAGGACTAAACGTGAGCTTTAGTATGGAAATGCGACAAGGCAGATCAATCTACTTCGCTTTCACCTTGCAATGTTATCTGGACCCATTTTGCTTGTTGCAACAGACGCGCTATAAAAGACATCAATTAAATGCTGAGGTTAGCTGCTTTACTCGACAAGATGCCAAACAGTCCACACGATAATCGCTGCAAAGCAAGATGAACGACACGCAGCCGCCTCAGCACATTTAATGATCCACTATGGGTAGCTGTTGCTCATAAAGGGGCACAGAGGGTATTGACTTCAAGTTGACGTGGTATAAAAAGCCGGTAAGCTAGACGAGCACAAATATGGTGCATCGCAAAAGGCGTGCATCTGACCAAGGTAGCATCGTAGCTCCTCGCGCTCGCAGTTCGTTTTACGTTTGCTAGAGATGGGCGCAACAACGATGTCTGATAAACCGTTGCTCGACCAGCGGTGTCTCACCTCATATATCGAGAAGATCTATATCGCAAATGAAAGAAATCAAGCTGTCCAATAGATTAAGCACCACTTGTCGGTATCAGGATGAAGCAGATTGTAGGTTGATAGACACGGACGTCACGAAAGTTTAACGTGATATCGTGACAACCACCCATTACGACTTAACAAACAACCACGTATCCCTGGGGAAAGGATGGATGCTATCCCGATCAAGGACGTGGCAAGGGGGTACCAGAAAAGCGCGATAGCAGCTTGAAGGCGTCCATGTTAGGTGAATGCCAATCTGCACACAGTAGGCCGTCCGTGTCGCTACCATTCGGATTCACACACCAATACACCACACCGCTCACGCCAATGTGCTGCAAGTACTCGACGAATCGATTCTGCCAGGCCCAATCTTTCGCATTCTCACGACATCCTCACCATTCCCCAATCACCAGCGGTACATCCGACTGCTGCTTCAAGTATCCAAAGTGGCAATCCCACACCGACGGCATATTTTCGGGAAAGTCGTCGGCGTTAAAATACGGTTGCCACGACACTGCCGGACCGTAGGTATGGGGACAATACACGAGACGTTTTGCTACACTGAGATGTAGAGGGTGCACCACTGCAGCCTGGAAGTTCTCTCCCCAGAAACACGGCATCTCGTATCCCGAGTCACAACTGGTCGTCTGTACACCCTGCACAAAAATGATCCAGTGAGGACATGCTGTCAAGACTTTGCCAGCTAATTTCATTGCTGCAAGTCTCCAGTCGGTCGTAACATCGTTTGAGCCCCACGTCGCGTCCCCATGTGGCTCATTGTTCAAGTCTGCTCCCAGCACGTTCCATTGTCCCGCATATCTCGTTGCCAATGTCGCCCAGACCTTCTCGACCATCTTCTGTGAACAGTCTTCACTGTCATTGTACCACAAATCCGATATACTGCTGCCAAGCTGCATCACGTGAGCATCCAGCAGCACCAGGAGCTCATGACGCTCCAACTCGTGCACCACATGGTCCAACACGTCCAAATACCGCAGCGTCTTGTGTCCTGGAAAAGCCTCTAAGAGCGCCACTTCGTTGCTTATCTTGGACCGTTCAATCTCAATGTTATTGGCAACGGCTGCGACTGCAAAAGGGACGCGAATGAGGTTGAAATGGTGCGAACGGAGCAAAGTGGCTACATCGGCGAGCGTCGTGGACTTTGGACCACCCCAAAGTCCATGCGGAACGCCAATGTCGCTTTCCATGCCAAAGTAGCTCGCTCCCTTGATCACAAAAGGTTGCTCATTGAGCCATAGACTGCCATGATGCGCTTCAAAGTGCAGCGATCTGCGACGTGGTGCCATTTAGATTTTCCTTTGGATACAGTGGTGTTTAAGGTGTCTCAGTTGATGAGGTTTTATTGTTCTGCGAAAGAGACGCGTCGCTAAGGTCCTCGATTGAGTGACGTCTCGCAATTTAATTGGTTGGAAAACCGATGTCAGCTTTTAGTACTTATAGAAGCGAACTTAAGTCAGCCCGTGAATATCACTACTACTAAGACCGTTACTACTAATATTACTGCTACTATGACGACATTGGAGGCGGAGCAGAAGCAGCAGGAAGTCGTTCTTGGTGGGACCGAAGGCGTTGAAGAAAAGAACGACGAGGCGGTAGAGGAGGTTACACAGTCGCTCGAGGAAATCCTAGCACTTGGACAAGGGCTGGACGACCAGGACTACAAGGCCGAGCTCGAAGTGCTACAGAACGATCCGAATTCGAATCTGTACTCGGCAGTAACGTTCGAAGAGCTGAATTTGTGCGCTTTTAAAATCGTACTTAGTGGATGCTGATATTGATTTTGTATGATGTAAAAAGTAGTAATGCTCGTTATGGATGCTACTGCTGTGTAGACCGGAGCCGTTGCTCAAGGGCGTGTACAACATGAAGTTTGCCAAGCCGTCCAAGATCCAGTCGGTGGCGTTGCCTTTGATCTTGGCTGAGTACGTAGTGCTCATTTATCGTGCACAGAGAGGAAAAGAGCGCCACGCTGTCAACTACTATTTTTCTGACAAAAATGATCTATTATTTTCTTGCTGCAGTCCACCCGAGAACCTTATTGGTCAGGCACAAAGTGGCAGTGGTAAAACTGCTACTTTTGCGCTGGGAATGCTATACCGAGTGGATGTGAACTTGAGAGCCCCTCAAGCCTTATGTGTTGGTCCCACTCGTGAGCTGGTTCGGCAGATTATGGCTGTGGTAAACGCCATGGGCAAATTCATTGGCGTCGAGACGTTTTTGGCAATCCCAGGCAACGACGTGGCTCGTGGAGAGCGGTTAACAGCCCAAGTGATTGTAGGAACTCCTGGCAAGGTCGAAGGTATGATCAAGAAGAAGCAGCTCGACACTCGCGACGTGAAGATCTTTGTGTTGGACGAGGCCGATGTGATGGTTGCTGAAGATGGTATGCGCGAGCGCTCTGTATCAATCAAGCGTCTGATTAAGAACCGAGCTTGTCAGTACCTCTTGTTCTCGGCTACGTACGCTGATGACGTGCGGGAGTTTGCCCAGAAAATGGTGCCTGACCACAACATCATCACAGTCAAGAAGGAGAAGCTCACCCTTGACGGCATCAAGCAGTTCTGGATTGACTGCAAGACTCGTGACAACAAATACCAGGTGCTCTCGGACATCTTTGCCGTCCTGTCGATCGGGAAGTGCGTCATCTTTGTGCAGCAGCGCGAAACGGCCAAAGAGCTGACGCGTCGGATGCGTGAGAAGGGCCACATGGTTGGGATCCTGCATGGTGCTGACATGGCCAAGGAGGTGCGCGATCAAGTCATCGATGAGTTCCGAGCTGGCACGACCAACGTGCTGATCACTACGAATGTGCTTGCTCGTGGAATCGATGTGGCGGGGGTATCCCTTGTCGTGAACTTCGACATCCCGCTTACTCGAGACCAGCGCCCGGATCCCGAAACGTACTTGCACCGTATCGGTCGTACCGGTCGTTTCGGCCGCAAAGGCTGTGCCATCAACTTTGTCTACGACGACAAAAGCAAGCAGGACCTTGCGGATATCGAAGAGCACTATGCGCGGCCGATAATTCAGGCTCCCGCGGACGATATCGAGGAACTCGAGAAGTTGCTGGCTTGGGAGTAAGCTCATGCTGATGAAAGCGGGTCTTACGCAGAATCCAAGTAGAAAGCTCGCGGAAATCGCCCGAACTTCCGGTCTGCGTGTTTATTCAGCAAAGTGCTAGAAGCCACGTTTTCCTGCGCAACAATGCTGAGTGAAGAGGCGAAAACCGCGCCGATCCAAGTGGAAAGAAGCAATAACAAGCCAAACCTTACTTCGTCTTCTCTACACGCTAAAGAAGTTTAGCTTCCTATCATCACCACCCGTGACAAACGCCACACTGCTCTTCTCCTCGCCTTGACTCCGCCAGGACAGATCAAGCAACTTGCCTTCATGCGCAGTTATAGTATGCAGCGGAATTGTGCTACGCGCGTCCCACACCTTGGCCGCGCCGTCATAGCCGCCAGACACAAACAAATGCTCATTAGATGCGCTGTCCGGATGCCAGGCCACTGAGCTCACCCACTCTTTGTGCGACCGGAAGGTGCGCTGTACGATACTTTCACCACTCTGCTGTGCCCGTGGATCCCACAACCGAATGCATTGGTCCGGGTGAGAAGTAAGTACAAGTCCATTGGCGTGCACGCTTAGGTCCGACACGGCGCGGTTGCCAACCAGCGACTGCGAGCAAGACTGGGTGACTAGATCCCATAGACGAACGGTGCGGTCGCTGCCGGCAGATACAACCACGCTGTCGTCATGGTCGGAGTTCTTCGGACTAAACGCCACGCTCGTCACGTAGCTCGTATGGCCCACCAGCACGATTTCAGCCTCAAGCTGCTGATAACTCACGGCACTGGAACCATTGGCCGTCTTCCTGTGTTTCTTCGATGGATGCTCTGCACACGCTTCTGCTTCACCTGGCACTTTCCAGACACGCACTGTATTATCCCAGCTGCCAGTCACCACACGCTTGCCTGAAGCCTGTACCTGCACTGCATCGACGCTGTTCAAATGGCGAGTGAGCGCTGCAATAGGCGACAGCTTGGCCGGATCGACTGTATACCGCCACAGCTGTGCCAGTTGATCCTTGCCGCTACTCGCGACAACATACTCTCCGCTCTTGGCAGCATCAAGTGACACACTCACGGCCTTGATCGCTCCGTGGTGAGCTTTGACTGCAGCTTTGCAGTCTCCTTGAGCGTCATAAACACGCAGCACGCCATCATAGCAGCCCGTGACAACGAGATTGTCATCTAGAGCGGCGACAGCACTGACCCAGTCTGGATGGTCGCAGTTCTTTTGCTTCTGAGGCTCTGGCAGCGCTTCCACGTACTCGAGCGTCAAGAGCGTCTCCTCCGACACGTTGTTCTGGTTCGTCTGCAGGTACTTGTCCAGCGAAGAGCGTAGGAAGAGACCGTCAATGAGAAAATCAAATGGCCGTGGCGTGTCCCCCGTAGCCAACAAGTGGTTCACGACTTGGGATAACCCTCGCCGACTGAGGCGAGTTGGCACTGCAAAAGGGGTCTCGGTCACGCGAATCGCCGCATCTTTCGTGACAAATTTGATGCGAATCTAGGAGCGGAAAGAGGCACGTGTGTGAGTATGATTACGTGTGGTAAAGGCGGTTGGTGCCATTGGGATAGAGAGAGAGCAGAGAGATGAAGGACTTACTTGCGGTCCGTCGTCGTCCATTGGAAGCGTGTTTGATTGATAATGACTGGTGGCGAGCTGGGCGTTCCAGTGGACCACACCAATTGTAGACGCGCTGATTAGAAAGACACACATGGTGGAAGTGGAGCGTTTCGAATCGGCTTTAGGGGGGGTTCTATTCGTTTAAAAAGAGGAGACCGTGCCTAAAATAGTGTGAAAAACACGGTTCAGCGCATGAATATGCAGTAGTAGGAAAACCTGAACGTCAATATAGTGCGTTAACCTATTCGATATCGGTATGCTTCTGCCTGGATTACCTCAGGCTCCTCCTCGCTGGCTTAGTCTGCAGGCTCAATTCTCCGAGCTTCACGGGGGGGGGCACTCCGCAAAGGGCACGTGGAATTGGGTATACAGTCCGAAAAAAAAATGCAGACAGGGCGCTGAAGTCACAGAAAACACCGGAGACCAATCCGATCACCCCCGATGGCCGCTGACGCGCCGGGAAGGTGTAACGGGGTAGCCCGGAACATGATATTGACACCAAACGGTGTCAATAGGGATATTGTCTAGCAAGACAATATTCTACCAATGTTATCCGAGATGGATACAATTACAGAATTGTTATCCCCTTTAGGATAATATTCATGCGATGCTGAAAGATTGGTTGATAAAGACATTTCAACCATAGATTGCCACCAATCGCTGCTAGACGCGCGCAATGCGTGGTGAGCAGGTTGTCGTCATACGACGGCGTAGTGTAATATAGTTAGAAAAAGATTAAAGTTATATTGGTAGCTTAACTATATAAAATACAGCTCTCTTTTTACCCTTTCCTAACTAGCAGTTTGAGTAGATTAGCTTCCTCTGCACGTACTAGTGTAGTTTGAGTAGATTTGCTTCCTATGCACGTACTAGTGTACGTGAAGTTTCGCGGCACCCAAACAAAGGGTGCCCCGTTACACCTGGTAGCACTTTGTAGTTCGTCCAACGACTACTTAGTGTCCGTCCAACATGAATTTGTTGGACGTAGAAAACGACAGCTTTCACGTCACACGTGAAGACTACTCCCATCTGAGTTACTCAAAATGGGAGGTAGTCGGCCGCATGAGTGTGCTCATGGGCGAACCCGCCATCAATGGTACGTTGGAGTCTTTAAGCAAAGACCATCAACATGCTGCTATCAACAAGTTCGCTCAAGGGGAACTTGCCGTCGAATGACAGAAGATAGCCTTTCTACAACAGCAAGGCTCTCATCAGTCGATGATCGGGAGGACCCACAGGCGTCGACCTGGAACCTTGAAGATAGATATCACAAGGTACAAGAGAATTGATGAAGATTCCCTTTCGAGACAGTTCATCGAGTTAGACGACGCCATAAGAGCCTGTCCCATCGAGGGTGTCGAGGTGCAAGTCACCTTCGCCCTGTCAAATTTGACAGGACGAGCGAAGACTTGGGCCTTAGGGCTCAAGCTTCACGACCCAAACGTGTTTGGGTCGTTAGAGATCTTGAAGTCTCGGCGCAAAGATATGTTTGAGCCACCACGAGCCGAGTTCAGAGCACGCTCTGCACTCTTGAGGCTCAAGCAAGGTTAGCGTGATGTGCACGCTTACGCACAGCACCTGCGCTACCTTGCGAGTAGCGTCACGGAATTATCTCTTGATAAGCGTATACTCATCAACATGCTCATCTACGGCCTTGCGGATGGGCCGGTGAAGACCTACATGTTCCGAGAGGATCTCCAGACGCTGGAAAAGGCGATAGCGTATGCGGAACAAGAAGACTTCAGCCTGAGACAGTATCAGGCTAACTTGTCGGACTATCGTCCGACGAGACGACTGGAAACAGGAGGCCCCGAACCAATGAACCTCTATTACATCGAGAGCGAGTACTTTCTCTCTCTGAGTCACAAGCGAGCGGCAAGATGCCATCGCTGTCAGAAGAGTGGGCACTACGCTCATGAGTGTAGTGTCCCGAGCACTGCAACACGTCCAAAGACAGGAAGTGATGACCGCCGTTGGCCGAGGAAAGGTCCGAGGCGTGGGTCCGATCATGTCGCTAAACCGCGACAGCAAGTCGGGCCGCCAAAAAATGGACAGTGTCAGTAGGGGCGGAGCCCCCTGCTGATCCAGCAAAGTCAAGAGAATATGCAGGACTCTTGACGAAGATTGCTCCCAACATGCAGTTTTTGTGTGTTACTGCCCTTAGTGGTGAGGAGTCTCTCATCACTTTGAAGATCGAAGTGACAAGTGGAATGTCACTTCGCGCCCTAGTTGATTGTGGGGCGTCGAACAGTTTAATTTGACGCCAGTAGTTAGAGGATAGTAGACTCAACTGTGTTGAGCGCGAGTTCCCTCCAACGAGGATGACGGTGTGCCTTGCTACAGGCGCATCCGTAACAGTGAACAAACGTGTAATGGGAATCCACTACACGATAGAAGGAAAGCAGAACGATGATGTTTTTATCGTACTGGATTTTAATGAAAAATTTGTGTCATCCTCGGTCTGCCATGGCTTAGAAAGTACCGTCCATGGGTTAGCTGGCAGCATCTATCCGTGAAGATGCCTGCCGTTTGTTCATCGGATGGCCATCTGATCAACGTCTTGGAGCGTCCACAAGCGTGTGGATGTACTCGAGTGAGTGCGATGGCCTCACTTGTGGTACGGTCGTTAGTATGACTACACAATATGACAGTGTAGAAGGCCACTACACTGTGGAACCAGCTTCTGGTTCCTGTGTAGAGACACAGGCTGCGTCGAAGGTTCACCACTCGAAGAGATCGAGTGGACTGGAACACGGATGCACACCAAGAAGGGTGCATCCAAGAGTAGAGATGAGCGTTGTTCGGGATCAACAACATGTTGAAGCAAGATCGACTATCAGAGAGTCGATCGTAGAGCCAGCCCGATCGACTGAAAGGGAGTCGATCGAAGAGGACGTGACTTTGGTAGTTTAACCACAGTCAGTACACGTATTAAAAGAAAGTTCCAGCGTTCCTGAAAGTGGTAATTCCCGAGAGAGTTATGTTGAGAGTGTAGATCCCCAATCACCTGCGGATGTGTTTTCCCATACTATCACCGAGTCAGTGATTGTCTTGGTGAATGAAGGATCAAGTGTAGGCGCTTATACACTTAATCTGGTTACGCTACCGAAGTCAGCTTTGGGGGTGGTCAAGTTGCCAACGCTAGAATCTATAAGATTCTTGCGAGATCTGCGTAATGACAAGATCAAGCAGATCTGCGTACTCGTCATAGAGGACGAGTACGTCGCCAATGTTCGGTCGGCACAAGTGTTTACTGAGAACGAAAGGGTTCTCAGTAGTTCATCTATGGATGAGAGTGTCCTTGATGAGAAGTCCCGGATTGAGCGATACAAGTCTCAATCTTGGGATTCTTTGAATACAAATCCTTTGAATAAGGATTTGTTGAAATTCAGGGGTGTTTTCCCAGAATCCGTGCCATGCGAGCTGCCTAAGGACAAAGGCACTCGACATGAAATCGATCTAAAACCTGGTTCGAAATACTGTGTCATGAAGCAGTAGCTACTTACTCGTGAACAGGTAACAGCGATCGACAAATTCTTTGCCGATCGTTTAGCGGCTGGTCATGTGAGGGAATCAACATCCCCAAACAGCTCTCCGATCTTCTGTGTGCGCCACAGAAGATCGGAGTGCGAACGGCTCCTAACAAGAATTACTGGTTTAAAAATAAGCATTGACAAGACTGAAGTACGCCTCAAGCGGAAAATCTGAAATGAATTCGCTAAATTGAGGGTCAAGTCCAGTTGCGAACGATGTTCCGCACGCTATATGCTGCGGCTGTGCTGGTCGCTGAAAGTCCAAAGAACAGCGGACTTTGGTTGTGGGCTTGCCTCCTGCTCCCATTACTGGTAGAAAGGTAGATAGTCGCTATTTGACCCTTCCCAAGCTGCTCAAAATATCTACGACATCAAATTTACTGAAGGGAGATCCCCTGCCTCCATGGGTCTCAGTCTCAAGTTATCCCTACTACTTCACCAGATACTGATGTTGGCAAGACGACGACGTTGTTGCAGTACTTTCTCCTCATCCATCATTAGGATACCTTAATGGTAAATTAGCGCCGATGGCGGTCGGTGTGGTTCTTGCAGCCCATAAATCTTTAGTTTACGAGGTGACCAGACTTCGCAATACTTTACGTCAGACCCAGCGTACGCTTGACGTGGTTTAAGGTCGCATGGCGATGCTTGATACAAGAAAGACACAGATGGAGGTTTAATTTCACCTCTTGTTTTGGATGCAGCAGCCTGTGGCAAAGACAACATTCGTGGTCCCGACCGCCCTTCGATCAATTGGGACGATCCTTGTTCATATTGAGGAGCCCATTATATAATATGGAGTATTATAGAAATTTGCGCGGCAGGTTGAGCTTGTACGCAAGCCCCTTTTTGTCCAAGACCTTAAAAGGTCCAGTGAAGCGAGGACGCAGCTTCATCTTAATCACAGCATAAACTACATTTGTGGGCAGGTTTTTAGCGTTTTGTAAGACTTGGTCGGCGACCTTATGACTTATAATACAGCTTTTAAATTTTACAGCTGCTTGTTCCTTCTGTTTAATGGTCTTGGCTATCAGCCATTGTGTAACGCACATTCAAAGACATTTACTCGTGTTGTAAGGAACAAGCTATTTTTTTACAGTAGAAGGGCTTAAATTAGCAAGTCGACCGTACATTTCTTCATCATCAATTCCTGAGCCACTTAGTCGTAGCTTTATCGGAACGCGGGGAAGGGGAATGAGGCCGACCATGTAGAGCAGAGAGTAGCCTGTTAAGACATAGACGGCATTTTTAAGAGCAGAATCTTCAATGGGGAGCATTGATCTCCGACGCCGAGTCGTTTCCTTGCACATGCTGGGTATGACATCATGATGGTCGCGATTGACACGCTCAGCTAACCATAGGTCTGCGGATAATACGTGGTAGACTCGTACAATATTACGCCGAGCACCTCGCACACGGCATTCCAGTACTCGTCTGTAAAAACGAGTATTGCGTTCAGATACTATCTTCAGTTGCATCCGTGTTGGCCTGGCCAATTCATGCAATCAATAAACAGCAAAGCTGTACCATCGCCATCGACCAAATCCGAAACAGTCGCTAAGTAGGCCATTTTGCTCAAACGGTTGACAAATACCACAATGCGTGTGTAGCCAAAATCGAATGCCATGCTGATGTAATCCTGACTCTCAGAATGTACATGCATACTAACTAGCGGCTCAGTCCCATGTGCAGAGACCTAGTCCCGTTATACGTCTCACATGTGCACACATTACGCTTACCCGTTTATTGAGTTTGGGCCACCAGAAACTCTTTTTAACCAAGCCGAAGGTCTTCTAACGATCGAGATGGCCGCTAGAAAATTCGTGGACCTCGAGAGAATACGGTAACTTATATTCTCATCACGAGTAACGAAGATACGCGGGTTATCCGCGGTATCGGTGCAATCGTAAAACACTTATTTCTCGACAGAATATCGATGCAGCCTCGCAAGCAAACAAGCCAACAATTTAATGTCCGAGTCTTGGAAATAATCGCTTTTAACATCGCCTTGGAAAGCTAGAAAGCTGTTTCTTCTATTAAAAGCCGCACGGATTAGGTCAGTAATTTGCGACGACAAAATCGTAACATGAGCAAGCACGTAGTCGGGCCGTCGTTACAGCGCATCAGCCAGCGCATCTTGCTTTCTTGGCTTTTACTATACCTTGAAGTTTTTTTCTGCAAATAATAAAAGCCAATGGCCATCTTCTGCGAGAGGTGAGGAGATAAAGCTGCTGTGCGTAAAGACGCATGAATTGTGTAGACTACAAAAACCTTAGAGCCAAGCAAGTATACTCTGTATCCGACTAAATTATACTTCATATCAAGTATTTCCTTGTCGTGAACTAATTTCTTCGCAGCTTAAGCTGATGCGATTCTTGAGCTTTTTCGAGTCCCTCATCTTTTAAAAGTATTAGTGCGCATACAATGGCAAAATCCGAATCGTCAAAGGTGACAATCAAAGGCTAATCAGAATGTGGCAAATTTAATATGGGGCATGTAGTATACTCTCCACCACCGCTGAAAAGCTGTTGTGTCCGTGCTAGCCCAGCACCTATCTACATCCTTTAAGAGGAGATTGGATTATGGCCGAGCCAAATTAGCGAGTAAACCCCGCTATACGTGTGCAAGAAATTGGCAATGCCAAACCATTTGCGTAAATACTTTTGGTAATGAAAAACTGACCAATCCACTATGACCTTCACCTGTGTTGGATTTGGCCGAAGGCCTTACTTTCTGATGAAGATTCCCAAAAATGGGATCTTACTGGCAATATTGTTGCATATTGGGGCATTAGCATAAGGCTTATTTTTGCGCATGCACTCGAGCACAATTATCAAACGATCTATACGGTTATCCACATCCGAACGACCGTGTTCTACCCGACCATAGTTTTTTTCATCGACAGAGATTTGTGCGCACGCACAGTGAGGGCGAAAAAATTTCATCATCAGATGATTATTTATAATCGGGGAATTAAAAGTCGTTAGGTCATAACTAGCCACTTGCAAACCATACCGCTTGGAGTTCTTATCGCTGTAAGCGAGTTATCACTTGATCCCATTAGCAGTTGACAATAACTATCGATTAGGTCTAGTGCACTGTGCACACTAAATCCTGTCATGGTGTTCTGAAACCTATCCTTTACAGGAATTGACGTTCTTGCTAGTACAGTGGCCGCATTCTACTAATAACAAGCATGTACGATATGCTGCATAGCATCAAGCTTTTTGACACACAGTTTCGGTGTGGAATAAGGAGACTTGCTCTCCCGCACCATTCTGTTTGGGGGGGGTTAGCACTGGAAAAAATTGTCAGTAAAGTCACACTGTGTCTTTATCAAAACCAAATCCCATGTAACTCAGTATTTGGTTTCCGTAATTAAGTCAAAATTATGACGCACGACCCAAAAGGGAGGTCATACAGACGGTGGATTATGACGTACCACGTCTTGAAACTCCTTACCCAAAGAGTATAAGGGGCATGAAGGCTTCGTCAAAAATTGTGATCTGCTTCGTGCACTGAGTGCTTAAA